GTATATCAATGCTCATGATGTTGATCACTGGATTATCTGGTCCAGACTCAATTATTTACAGACGGCCACCATATTGCTAGAATATTGCTCAGTGTAGTGTTAAAAAACAAACCACCAAATAAAAAAATGTTATATCTCCATATAAAATATACAATTATATCATTCCCAGCTAGGCTATATTCAATTCTGCCCTATGAGATTTTTCTGTACAGCAAAATTGTTCCATTCTTCGTATTTCAAAGTTAATATTATTGAGTTTTAGCTATAAATAAATTGAAATTGTGTCGTATTAAGAATCAGCTGACTACCACACGCCCTGGTGAAATCAGAATGTTAAACATACCATACAAAAAAATTGTGTTTGTTAAAAATAGAGTATAGAGGACCCCGAGGATTATGAAGTGTAGGCAGTAAACTGGGTGCAGTGTAGTACAATAGAACACATAGTCCCTATGACACTTCATTCATATGAACCTTCCACCCTGATCCAGTCAGAGGAAAACAGCAAGGTGTGTGTGTTACGTCATATTAGTAAACAAACTGTCATCGCCTAACTCACCTGCTATGTAATATGCCAGTTAAGATTTATCATGCTCATTAAGGGCAGATATGCTTACAAAGAAGGGCCCTGACAATGTTTATTCAACAAGCATTGATAGATTTGAGAGGCTGTTTCTACCTCAGACTAAAGTAAGTGTAGTGTCTATTGCTGAAGGTATTTATCTGTATTTTGACTCAGGTATATTATGGGGAAGGTATCACTGATGAATTGCCCTCAACTGATTGTGTAATGGTTTGATTTTGTGAAATGGCGTGAGAATTTCTGTGTGGTATGATTCACTCCAGATAACACAAGTTATCATGATCGGAACTCAAATCGTGGGACACTTTTCTTTATAAATCTTCCTTGACCTGTTACAATTTACAGATATTAATTCCTTATTGAATGGCTTAAAACTTTGTGACATGTGCATCTTTCTTCAGTTTAGTCAATATTCTGACATTTTGTGTCGACCTTGTCTGATGTAGAGTGACATCAAAAACTGAAGTAAGTAGCATTACAATAGATTAGGTTATATGTTGTTTGACATTTTGCCCATGTGGGCTTTCTGGGGGTAGAATTGTTCACTAGTAATGTGTGCTTGTTGTAAGAGATGACAGTGAGTGAGTGACTTGAGTTTTACGCCTTTTTTAGCAATATTCCAGCAATATCATGGCAGGCGACACCAGAAATGTGGGGAATTGAACCCAGGTCTTCACGTTGACGAGCAGACACTGTAACCACTAGGCCACCCCACCGCCCCTAAGAGGTGACAGAGTCAATGGTTGTTAGTCATGTCTGATAGTGTGCCCTCATATTCCTGTGGTATGGTTGTGTTCAGTGGTAATGGTTTCAGAGTCTGTAATGTCCAGATTTTTTCAGGCCAACCTGCTTTACATTTCCTTCCACTACTCGACACAATGACAAGGCAAAATCTTGATTCAGACACTTGATATTTCTGTCATCTGTTGAAATCCATCTTTTCATTTCCCAATGGTCCACCCTACCTGGTTCGACTCTGGGCGTAATTTAGGGAAGCCAAAATACTCTGTGTGTGTGTGTGTGTGTGTGTGTGTGTGTGTGTGTGTGTGTGTGTGTGTGTGTGTGTGTGTGTGTGTGTGTCAGTTTTAATCTTTTTGTCATCCTTCGGCTCATGCCTGTTGATTTGACAACAGATTGCCAGATCAGTAGTTACAGCTGAAGAGAAGTTTATCAATTTATACAAAATATATGTGTTGATAATCTGTGTGACTCTTCAAGCAAGTGATAGCTTTGGACTGTGGATATTTCAAAGCAGTGTTAGTTTTAACAGAGGTTACTGCCCTAGGTAATACCATCAGGGAATTCAACATTCTCTTCTGCCATATGTAACCTGGTAAATACTAAACTGATTTCCTGATCATTAACCTTAACGTTTGCTTGTCTTTGAATATTTATGTCAAAACATCAAGAAAATGTGAACACCCTGTAGTTTGATAAAACTGAAATATTTCCTGAAAGATGTTTACAGCAGGCTTGGTGGTTAGTTCAAAGGGAGGTAACTCATCAGATCTTATGGGCTCCTCTGAGATATTAGACCTCAATATTTGCAACACTTTGTGTGGACCATTATAACATGGTATTGTTATATATTTTGTATCATATAATATACCAACATGGTAAGTACAATAATTGTACTCCAAAGTAATTTTTTGTTATATTTTTTAAGTATTATTATCTCACTCAAGTTCAACACAATTGACACATTTGCAAGATCAACCCATTCCTGATATCAACCCGTCCAATAACTCACTCATGTAATCAACCGTTGTTAGTTAACCCATTCCTGATATCAACCCGTCCAATAACTCACTCATGTAATCAACCGTTGTTAGTTAACCCATTCTTGATATCAACCCGTCCAATAACTCACTCATGTAATCAACCATTGTTAGTTAACTCACTCAGACTAACATTTGTCAATTAACTCTCTCAGGACATCAACCAGTCAACCCATTCATGAATTAACCCCTGTCAATTAACTTGCTCAAAGTTCAACCATTGTCAGTTTGGTCACTCACAAGGTCAGTCGATGTCAATACTGTTTACCTCACTGCACTGTATTTTCCAAGTAAATCTGTTTCTAAACTGTTCAAGGAAAAAGAAAGTTCTCCTTTCCTAGTGTCAGTGTGCATCCTAGCCAGTATTACAATGTATTTCCTGGCTGAACTTGACCTACTTAACCTGAAGTAGGCGTGATGGAGATCATGTACACGTTGTAGATCCTAGACATGAAGACTTTCTGTCACGAATCAATCGAGAAGATCCTCCAATATGTCAGAAGGTACTGTTGGTGACATTTGGTCAACTTTTTCATTTTTCCACACGTTGCTTCTCTATGCACTCAGTTTGTGATCGTATTAACACGGGCCACAAAGCTGTGGCAAGTAAAATCTGTCTTATGACCAGCATGAAAATCAAGGGGTTTGTCTCAAAACTCTAATGTTTAATACTAGCGATTAATGGTGTCACTAGACTTAAATACCATAGAATACTTTGAGGACCCCACAATCCAGTGATTTTGTTTCAGACATTCCATGATTTATCAGCTTTGAGAGGACATTTGTCTACATTAGTTCCAAATTTAATATTTTTCTGTGTCATTTTTGGATCCCAGTTAGCAAATAGGACATCAGTCTGTAAGGGAGAGTGAGTGAGTTTAGTTTTACGCAGTTTTAATCAAAGTCATTCAGAGGTATATAATCACATAATATACCTCTAATTTTCAAACACAGTATGTATTTTTTAAAAATCTTAATTATGCAGTTATGGTAGAATGGCGATAAACATAGTCCAATATGGGGAGAGGATGTGATTGTACAGATTAATAGTGTCATTGGGACCAGAAAATGGTGTCGGAATTCGGAATGTACAGATGTCGGATAATTCAATGTTTAAATGATGATAATATAGAAGAACGCTGCCGGGACCCAAAAAATATGTCGGAATTCACAGATTGTCGGATAATTCAGATGTCGGATTATACAGAGTCCACTGTATGTTGGAAAATCAGAGGTATATAACGAAATTATAATAGCTCTAAATTTGATTTAAAACCTACGTGTTCGGTTTTAAATCAAATCTAGAGCTATTATAATCTTGTTATATACCTCTGATTTTCCAACATAATATGTTTATCTCCTAATTCTAAGCCATATATTCATGGGAGCATTGTTATTACACATACAGTGGTCACTCTGGGACCCCCCAATCCAGACACCTATAATAATTACCCAGAATCCCCTTGACTCGTTAATTGACCCAGTTATATCCCTGATATATTCATTTCAGAACTCTGAAATGAACCTTTCATCGTGTAATCAGTTTTAATTGTTAATAAAATAAGATTATGTAACTCTATAGAAGTAGAAGTCTATCATATTTGAGTTTGCTGAGGCAGCTAGAGAGACAAAGCCTGGTATACTGAGATGACTTGTATGATATAATGTCAGTGTCACGCCCTGATGGAAGGAAGTTGACAACTCATAGATATTGTAGTTTGATGCAGAATGATAGACTAACACTTAGTCACTGAATATATATAATTTTGATTGTACCAAATAAACCAATTTAAATTAGAAAGGAGCTCCAGCGAGACCAGAGAAGCTTGAACCTGGGGAAATCTAGACTTGCTTCATTTAGGGCTTCAGCATTGCAGGGAGGGCAAGACAGTAGGTAAAATGATGTGGTTGAGGGACTGTGAGACAGACTAGCAGAATGACAGTGATCCAGTTTACGGCCATCAGTGGTCTACAATATGCTGTGAGATTTTTCTATTAGTCAGTGTTAAGTTAAGAATTTGTTGATCAAGGATTTTTCTTGGAGATTTCTCTAGTGGTCATTATTATGTAATGTTCAGATTTCCACCATCAAGGATTTATTGTTGAGATTTCTCTATTGGTCAATGATATATATTGTTATGACTTTGTCAATCAAGGATTTATTGTGGAGATTTGTCATAATGTTAAATCTTTATCAAGGATTTATTGTGGAGATTTCTCTATTGGTCAATGATATATAATGTTAAATCTTAGTCAATCAAGGATTTATCGTGGCGATTTCTCTATTGGTCAGTGATATATAATGTTAAATCTTAGTCAATCAAGGATTTATCGTCGCGATTTCTCTATTGGTCAGTGATATATAATGTTAAATCTTAGTCGATCAAGGATTCCAGACAAAGTGCCCTTTAGAGTCAAAATGAGAATAAGTATTGTTCAAAATTGGTTAATTTTTTATGTTCTTCTTTTCACAAATTCTGTAGATTGGAATTAATACTGTCATTTTCTGTCGATTTAGTGCTGAATGTCTCCTGTGAGCAGGTCCAGATACATCGCTGGCTGGCAATTTGCCTCATATAAAGTCTATTATTCTGGAGACAAAAGAGATGAGTTTGTCAATCTAATTTCCTTTGTTACAGAAAAATCTTCAGGCTCCAAAATGTTGAAGAAGGCAAAATCATTTCGAGATGACATCAAAACGAAGATTAAAAGGAGACCGTCGACAGGGGCACAACAGATGATACCTGAAAATAAGTCCCCGAAAAATAAACAGTCGAAGGCCGTCAGCAGAACCAATAGCATGAATGAGGGGTCCAAGACTGACAGATCTGAAGACACAGACGTGAGTAGATTTACTGGACTATTTCTGCCACTTTTGTTTCAGGTATCTTAACCAACTAACTGTTTCAACCAGTGAAGGTGCGGGTTAGAAGTGGTCTTCAGTAACCCATGCTTGTCGTAAGAGACGACTTACGGGATCAGGTGGTCAGGCTTGCTGACACGGTTGACACATCATCATTTCATATTTGCATAGATCAATGCTCATGCTGTTGATCACTGGATTGTCTAGTCCAGACTCTATTATTTACAGATTGCTGCCGTATAGCTGTAATATTGCTGAGTGTGGTGTTACAAAACAATGAAACCTACTGTTTCCATAACAGTGGAATAATTATCTTCAAATAAAACATTCTTTTATCACAATAGTATAGATATTATCAAGGATATCATTTTCCTTTTGACAATCGTTAATAATTCTTCCCATGAATAATGCTTCTAATTATCAATCTTTTAGCCAGCCTTTGTTTTGTCACACTTAGAAACATCAATCTTTAAGATTGGGAAACAAACTGGATGTTTGAACATGTCATCGTTGTTTCTGTTTTCTAGTTATTTTGACCTTTAATTTAGTGAAAACAGTGCAATGACATCAGTTATTAAGAAGCCATCTGTGGTAAACACAACAAAAATACCCTACTTCTTATCAGTTGTAATGTTAGACTCACTATGACAAGAACATGGAGTCAGAATGATCTGTTGGTTTCTTTCATGACAGAAAGTACAACTATACAACTCAGATTAACATAAGATTATTACAAATTTTATATGAAATCCCATTTTGGTTCTTTTAAAACTGTTACTTTCGAAGGAAATCACTCTCTCAGAAAGACACCATGAGTGAACTCAACTTGTTTATTATTCTTCAGTTATTTTCTGTTCTGCGGTCGTATTTTTTTCAAGAATAAGAAAAACAAAATTAATTATTTTTCCCCGCTCAAAAAATATAATCCTCATGTTTTTATTGGCCAAAAATGTAAACTAACAAAAAAGTTTGATTGTTTTTTGCCCTATATACACTTTATAAATTGCCAAAAATATAATACTTTTAGTATGTAAAAGGGTTATTACTTTGACTGGTGATTAATATTTTTTATTTTTTTCCCTCCTGTCTTTAGGTTTTCTGAGGACAAAAATCCGTAAAACAAGAAATAAAATTGGTCTGGCCTTAGTGTAAATCTTCTAATTGTTGTGCAACTTGTTCTGGCGGAATACAAGCCTTTGGTAACTCTCTTCTTGGTATTGTCCAGAGATTGCTTATTCAGTTGATAAAATCTTAAACAGAAGGGAACTTTTTAGTGTACCTCACTATTGATATGAAACCCATTGCTGTGCAATGTTTTGGAATCAAGGGACATAACTCCTATGACCCAGGGCTTCCGACTCCATACACCACAGACAATAAACACAGAAATGCAATATTGTATGATACAATGAAAACAACATTCTAGTACTGTGTAATCAATAATTTATTATCAATTGTTACTATTCATAATTTAATCAATTTTAATATTTCCATGTTACCAAACTGAATGTTTGTCAAGACAATTAATGTTTACTTCTTAGAGTAACAACAATTTTAAAAGTCCAGTACTGAATTTTATTGAAATAAAAGAAGCTGTTTATTTGAAAATTTGTCATGAATGAACATTTAATCATGGTATGAATTAAACATGCTGGCCAAAATAAGGAGAACAGACTTTTGAGGAAATATAAAGTTGATGAATATGTATTTTTTTACATCAGTCCTTAGTGAATTAACTTAGTTTCCAGTTTAGCGTAGCCAGTTAACCGTATGTGGAATTCTAATGGGATGTTAATCTGTAATTGTTAATCTGTAATTTTACCGGCTATTGTGTTAATTGCTTGTTTGAAATTGTCCTGGTATCTCGTGTTTAGTCGTAGCAGAATGCCGATTATGGATGCCGACATACATGACAAGCATTACAACAGTAGCGTGGTTATTGCCGGCATCTGTCAAACATGACGGTCATGATAGTTGCCATACATGACAATTACTCAGTCAAATTACTCCCTGAAGATACACATGACATTTACCAGATTCTGTGGTAATGTTATTTGTTCAGGTTTGATAGTGTTGTCTCTGCCATTATTGTGTCTAATGGTTACAAAGTAGGAAAACTACCAAGTTGAGTTCTTTAAGTCTTGTGTTGTACTGTTGATGTGAGCGCTTCAACATGTGTACATTCTAGATCTGATTATCGGATACCTGTCATTTGATTGGAATGGATATTGTATTGGTGTATTAACTGATAATAGAATATATTATTTTGAATGAGTATAGATGAAAATTATCAATGCATACCTATCATTTATCTCTTTGTTTTAAAATTTGACCAAACCGATCCATTTGAATGTTTAAAAATTAATATTTTAGTTTCTCATTGTGCATCGTGGGTGGACTTTATGGCTTTACAGATTCAATGTGATCTTTCCCTGAAGTTAGGATCTTTGCCCATGGTTGTGACAAAAGCTGACAATCCAGAGTGGATTGGGTGGACTTTTTGACTAGAATGAATGAGTGTGATCTTTCCCTGAAGTTAGCATCTTTGCCCATGGTTGTCACAAAAGCTGACAATCCAGAGTGGATTGGGTGGATTTTTGACTAGAATGAATGAGTGTGATCTTTCCCTGAAGTTAGGATCTTTGCCCATGGTGGTGTCAAAAGCTGACAATCCAGAGTGGATTGGGTGGACTTTTTGACTAGAATGAATAAGTGTGATCTTTCCCTGAAGTTAGGATCTTTGCCCATGGTTGTGACAAAAGCTGACAATCCAGAGTGGATTGGGTGGACTTTTTGACTAGAATGAATGAGTGTGATCTTTCCCTGAAGTTAGGATCATGGTTGTGTCAAAAGCTGACAATCCAAGAGTGGATTGGGTGGACTTTGACTAGAATGAATGAGTGCGATCTTTCCCTGAAGTTAGGATCATGGTTGTGTCAAAAGCTGACAATCCAGAGTGGATTGGGTGGACTTTTGACTAGAATGAATGAGTGTGATCTTTCCCTGAAGTTAGGATCATGGTTGTGTCAAAAGCTGACAATCCAGAGTGGATTGGGTGGACTTTTTGACTAGAATGAATGAGTGTGATCTTTCCCTGAAGTTAGGATCTTTGCCCATGGTGGTGTCAAAAGCTGACAATCCAGAGTGGATTGGGTGGACTTTTGACTAGAATGAATGAGTGTGATCTTTCCCTGAAGTTAGGATCTTTGCCCATGGTTGTGACAAAAGCTGACAATCCAGAGTGGATTAGGTGGACTTTTTGACTAGAATGAATGAGTGTGATCTTTCCCTGAAGTTAGGATCTTTGCCCATGGTGGTGTCAAAAGCTGACAATCCAGAGTGGATTGGGTGGACTTTTTGACTAGAATGAATGAGTGTGATCTTTCCCTGAAGTTAGGATTTGCCCATGGTTGTGTCAAAAGCTGACAATCCAGAGTGGATTGGGTGGACTTTTTGACTAGAATGAATGAGTGTGATCTTTCCCTGAAGTTAGGATCTTTGCCCATGGTGGTGTCAAAAGCTGACAATCCAGAGTGGATTGGGTGGACTTTTTGACTAGAATAAATGAGTGTGATCTTTCCCTGAAGTTAGGATCATGGTTGTGTCAAAAGCTGACAATCCAGAGTGGATTGGGTGGACTTTTTGACTAGAATGAATGAGTGTGATCTTTCCCTGAAGTTAGGATCTTTGCCCATGGTTGTGTCAAAAGCTGACAATCCAGAGTGGATTGGGTGGACTTTTGACTAGAATGAATGAGTGTGATCTTTCCCTGAAGTTAGGATCATGGTTGTGTCAAAAGCTGATAATCCAGAGTGGATTTGCTGGTTAGACTTTGTGAAGTGACAGAATGAGTGCCACCATGCTGGATCTGTACTTAATGCAAACCTTGGTATGTCATTATAGTCAGTTTAGTTTTACACCACTTTTAGCATTATTCCAGCAATTTCATGGCAGGGGACACCAGAAATAGGCTTCACACACTGTACCCAAGTGGGAAATCGAACCCGGGTCTTCGCCGTGATGAACGAACGCTTTTACCACTAGGCTACCCCACCGCCCCACCTTGGTATGTAGTGACAGAGAGTTTTGCATGATAAGTAATATTGACTCACTTATTGTGCAAAATGTACTCACTCAAATTTCAACCAGCAAGGCGTTAAGGGCGGAACTATTTGCCATTGTTCTTTTAATAAAAACCTTTTGAACATTGAACCAAATATACATATTTTCAATCATAAGAGAGCAATTCTTAATCAATTTCATAACCTTTGCAAAATTCATGGTTTGTTCAATTGACGTAAGAGAAGAAAGAAGGATATGATGATGACAGAACTTGTTGCACTGTCACCGTAGTGATCTGTGTCACGCTGGGTTTTCCTCCCAAACTGAACTGTAATGTTACTGAAATAGTGTTAATAGGGGCTTTTAGCCTGATTCCTACAAGGTAGACACAACTTACGAATAGCAACTTCTGGAATGCAATTCACTATATTAAGGAAGTTGTTGCATTAATTTTGTCAACTTTGTCATCCGTCAACTTCTAAGAAATCCCTATCACATGATTCCTATTCACTCATTTCATGCATTAAAAATGTTGTCGTTTGTATTGCCTGTTATATCACTTCCTGAATGACAATATTAGTCGTATGATCACCTCTAATCTGTTTAAATGTTGGCTGGAAAATATATGGGTGTTAAGATGATGGTTATAATGAAATACAGAAATAACCTTACCTATTTCATCACTGCGAAAGAAAAGTCACGTCTGAATGTTCCAGGCTCCACTGCACTGTCTGGGTCTGCAAGGAGCTGGAGAGCACAGGTTTATTTCTCGGTAATCTTAACCAACTTTCCAACACAGGAAGGCTGTGTATTCTGTTGCAGTGATTTTTATTTTCCTCCAACTGTTGATAGGAAAATATTAAACACTGTGTGTCAGAAACAAGTCTGTGTATAGACGGGAGATGGGACGCCGATTG